TGCGAATGTGTCCCATGCGTCTTTCGGTGTCTTCGCATCTCTAATGTGCTCTAGCATCTCTTCCTCGATGGTGGTCTTGATAGCGAACATGGCCTTGCCAGCTTTAACCTTCCATTTCTTCAGAGCTGCAGAGTCCTCCGGTGGTGTAACCTCACTACCGCTCACAATTTCCCACAAATCTTGGCCTTGCAAATATGACTCCATGTACGTCGACCACGTGCTGTAATTTTGATTGTTAAGCTTTTTGATACCTCCAACCACTTGAAGGTCTCCCATCGTGGCTCCACCCGATCAACTTGCCACACACTCTGCAGTACTAAACTGCACACGACCTTTGCAGTACGAAACTGCAAAACTATGATCAAGAAGCTGGACACAACAACTCGTACCTCAACCAACGCCAGACTCCGCTCGCCTGGCTCTGATACCACTTGTTGGGTTGGGTACACTCGCAACACGTGGACACTATTGTAATTACTTTATTAGATTAAAAAGTAATTACAAAACACAATATGGACCAGGCTACAATACTTCACTTATCAAGACCAAAGCACCCTATTTATGACACTCACTCACTCTTTTACTTAGACTCTTGGATGCTTGGATGATGCTTGGATTATTGGGATTCTGCTTGCAAATGAGGTGGTCTTGCCTATTTATAGACAACCCTCCCTCTAATGAGCTATCTAGAACTAGCTACACTTATTAGGTTTCCCTAACACTCTTGCCTCTTCTAGGCTATTCTAAAACTTACTAATATTATGTACAATGTTCTAGACTTATCTATATAAGTCTAGTTCCTACAATATTCTACAACATTCTAGTAATCTCTATTACCTTCTAGAATCTTCTACATCCTTCAACTAGCTTCCTCAAGCTTCTAGATCCTTCTACAATGTTCCGGAACCTTCCACATTTTCCGGGTCGTTCTAGATGCTTCTGGAACCTTCCACAATGTTCTACGACGTTCCACATTTTTCCGGATTGTTCTAGATGCTTCCGGGTCCTTCCCAAAAGAAGGTGTTGATATTTTAACAGGTGGATCCGTGTGCCTTGTGTCGAAAGTCTTCCTGGCGAAGGGTGGTCAGGCGGCGGGTTCTGTGGGTGATAACGGCGGTACATGATGGTCGGATCGTATGATTTTCGTTCAAGGGGAGACCCAATGTGTCTTGTATTTGAGGGGAGGTTTGTAGGATGTGCAAACTCAATCCCACATCGAAAAATTAAAGGTTCCAAGTCCAATATATAAACTTGGTGGGCTACTCCTTCTATTGCCAATTAGTTTTAGAATGGAACCCTATTTGAGCTTGTATGTTGGGCTTGATGGAGAACTGGGTTTTGGGTTATTGGTCCTAACACCTAAGTGGTTATCTCGGGGTATATCGGTTTGGAGAAGCTCCAGTTCGTTAAGTAGAAGATAACTCAATCAAGGAGCTCGAGAACACAGTTCAAGGTACTGGTCAACCTAAAAAGAGGACTTTGAGGTAACGACTTCCATGAGCTTAGATACGTACTCGAGGTCGCATGTTGGAGAGGTCTGGCATCGACCTTAGTAAGGTCTTATAGCAGAGAGGTCAGGAGGTCGTGATTACGACCTAAAGACCTTACAACTGTATTACAATGGGGAAAAGAAATTCTAGTAGGACGGAAAGTATAGCTTGATAAGAAGACTTGCCTGGATAGAGACGTGGTAAGCTAGGAAAGAAGATCTGGTTAGATATCTTTTCCAACAAGGACTCTCTTGGAAATTCAGGCATTCACCCTATATAAAGGTAACCAGGTTCTATTTATGATTATCGCACTTATACGCATTAAGTTCATAATATCTAAGTTTATTCTCTTGAACGAGTTCTGACTTGAGCGTCAAAGTGTCGATGCTGGGACTCCCGCCTGGTGTATTGCAGGTCACCGGAGCTCAAGGAAGGTAGATGTTCGAGGATCAATTAGTTCAATTTGGCCCGTGTTAAATTGACACATTAAATTGGCACCGTCTGTGCGAAACTCTAGTCTTTTACCGGTTATATAGGGTTGATCAGTTTTCCCACAACAAAGGTGTCAGTTTGAAGATCATAGTAGCGGATAGTTCTAAGAATACCTTATTGAAGGATATGGATGAAGTCTGGGTGTCCTGGACAATGGGGACAGGACCTCGATCGGACTAATAAAGTCGATAGTCGCGTTAGTCACACCTCAAGACTCAAGAGACACTGTTGGCTCCCCACATGGCGATAACCCTGGTGGTAGGCACAGTGGGAAAACTCCCCGACAAGCAAGGAGGACATAGAGCAATAGCAACCCAAGGCACCATCATCAACAACAAGACAACTTGGTGTTCGATCGACCTCAAGATCAGGCTAAAGGGCATATTTTGAGTGTCGAAGTTCTTGCCAGTTCTGAGCCGGGTGATATGTGGTCATGTCTAATGGCAATAAGTGTATAAGACTCACACTTCTGGAGAGAAATTAAGTTATTAGAGTGAAACATATTTACGATAGGTTTAGAGTAAATTATGTAGGTTGTCAATCTAAAATTCAAGATACACAAAATACTATACTCAATCGCCCAGAAAAAATTCAACAAGAGGTGTTATCACGTTTTGTTTCTAATTTTTATTGTGCTTCTACACAAAATTTATTTTCATTGAATATTTCACTCCTAGAATCTAGAGTGTAAACGAATCGAGTCGAGTCAAGCTTGAACTTTTGATACTCGAACTCTGATTTGGACCTTTATAGAGTCGAGCTAATAAACGAGCTCGAGTTTGATTCATTTATCAATATTAACGAGTCGATTCCAATCCTTGACAAATCAGATTAAAGAAAATTAAATTTCATATTTTGAAGTCCTAACAAATCGAACCCACAAACAACTCTTTTTATTTATCAGCTAACATCCTTTAATTGGAACTATAAGATTGACATATGATACAATTTAAAATATATATATATATATATACTTACGTGGCAGCTATCATAGTACCGATGAGCTAGGCTCAAAGTCACGACAAAAACGGAGGACTTGTCACACTTTTGGACGCCTATAAAAGGAGAGCATCACATTTGTTCGTTTCATTCCAAACCCTTTTGCCAAAGTTACATTCCCCCACTTGAAGTCTTGCCATTGTCTTCTGAGTTCCTAAACTTTGTTCATCTTTAATTTTAAGAAGAGAAGAAAATAAAAGAAAAAAAAAATATGGGCGAAACCGTGGTCTTTCCTTATAACAATGGTCTAACCAAAGTTCACTGTGAAACCAATCACAATATGATAATGGAGCAAAATCACGAGCAACAAGATTCTTGGTTTGAAGAAGAGATTGATGTTGATCTTAAGTGGTCTTTTGCTTTGAACAGGTGCTTTTCTGTACTTACATTTGTTTGTTTGTTCTGTTGTTCATATTATGATGTAATTAATGCTATTTCTTATAAAAAAAAAACACAAGAAGGAAAATGTTTTATTAAAGAAATATTCAACTTAATTTCTTATTGCTTTTATCTATATTTTTTTAGGTTTCTTTGCTCGTGATATGAAGATATTATTGATAGAAATCAAGTTTGTTATTTTTCAGCAAAAATATATCATACACATGCTAGAAAATTTTAATATATAAGGAGAAACTTCAAATGACTTTTGGTATTCTTTCACCTCACTCAGGGTACTGCACAGAGGAACTAGTGAGTACCAAGACATAGCACTTCTGGACACAAAACACTTCGGCAAGGTAAAATTTACTCCTTTTTTCAATTTTTTTTTAAAATAAAAAAATAAAAAAATTTACTCCTTTTTTCAATTTTTTTTTTTTAAAAAAAGAAGTAGTGTTTGAGTTGTGGAAATTAATATAATCTAAACAAGAAGTTGTTAGGTATGCTTTTAAATTAAAACATCACACTGCACCAAAAAAAATACAAATAAAAATATGATATTTCATAACATAAATATGTATTTTCATTATATTTTTATTAGACAACTATTCACCTAATAATTGGGTCATCTCATACCATATTTGTCATAGTAAAGATTTCTTCGTCAATTGTTGAAATTAATTAACTAATTGTGGTCAATTGTGAAGGCTTTGGTGATTGATGGGAAGATGCAAAGTGCTGAAATTGATGAATTTATATATCACGAGTGTTTGATTCATCCACCGCTCTTATGTCACCCCAAGTGAGTTCAAACATATTTCTATGTCACGCTTTTACCTAATCCTTATTTTCTTCTAATTATTATTTTTATTTTTGTATTTTTTGGTCAAATTATGTAATCCTCTGCTATTTGACTTTTGGTTATCCAAAATAATCATTGTCAACTATTGTGTAGGGTTCAGTTAATTAGAGCATCAATTCAACTTACTGATTTTTGCATGCAAGAATGCTATATAATCTGAGTCATATATACAAGACTTATTTTTTAGTTGAGTATAAACTATTTTTTATTTTTTTTAATATATTTGTTGTTTGAACTTTGATTTAGTCCCAAAACGGTGTTTATAATGGGTGGTGGAGAAGGCTCCGCCGCAAGGGAGGCACTGAGGCACAAATCGGTAGAGAAAGTGGTCATGTGTGATATTGATCAGGTATATACGAATTTTGAAAAAAAAAAATTATATATTAGATATAATTACTAGAACATAATTCTTGAATAAAGCTGAGATCGTCATATTATTTTCACAATAAATATTTTTACAAATGTGCAAATATTATGTCGGTAAGTCTTCTATTAGGCCGACCTAACCATTTTATCGACATATTATTTTTATAAATGTGCATTTTCATTACGGAAGACATACTTGAAAAAATTATATAAATAAAAGTATGATATAATAATATAAGTATACATTTTAATTCTAACAGGTTGATTCGTCTAAGTTAGACTACCTCTTTCCAAAAATTTGTGATATTTTGGTGCTAATTAACGCGGCATAAGTAGTTTTTTGTGTCAATTAATATATACTTTTAATGTTTCTTAAGTCTATGAGTAAGTTACTACTTTTATTTGACTTTTCTTTAAAAGAAAACAATCTATTTTCGCCCCATTTGGTGACAAGCTTAATCCTGTTGAAGTGGCATTAATAAGGGACAGAATAAGATCTTTTCCTAAGTGTGGCTGTCTTTTGGTTTCGTGCTTATTAATTGGGTGATTAAAAATTTGTAAAAGTGGAAAAGTGGCATGTTAATTAGTCCAAATCTGGAACGTGCTGTAATTAGACTATTTAATTTCAAGCATGAATGTAATAAGTAATTAGGGATGATCTTAAAAATTAAATAAAAAAATCTTAAATTTGTCTAGTTGTAAATGTTTCAAAAACCAAATATTCGTTTCTTGAAAAAGCACATTTCTGAAGACAATAAAAAAAATGCTTTGATGCATCGAGCAGATGGATCCGTCGTATTTTTTTTTTTATTATATATATAATAGAAATGAATATTATATGTTGTGAAATACCTTCCTTTTTATTTNCCTTATTGTAAAAAAAAAATATATTGGAAGTTATTTTATAATCTTAACATAAATTAAAACACCCACCAATTCAAAGCTAGATTTATTGTTAACATTTTTTTTTTTTTTTCTAAATATCAATAAACTTAGTAACTATAACTATTGGTACAAATTTCAGGAAGTCGTCGATTTTTGCAAAAAACATCTCACAGCAAATCACGAGGCTTTCAGGAGCATGAAGCTTGATTTAGTGATTAATGATGCCAAGTAAGAATCCATCATTAATTTCAGGAGTTTGTATAACTAATCACCCCATAATAATATAATAAATAATCTTAATAATTATAATTAACTTCATTTTATTATTTTCTTATGAAGAGCTGAATTGGAGGAGAGGAAAGAAAAATTTGACATAATTGTGGGAGATTTAGCTGACCCAGTTGAAGGAGGGCCTTGCTATCAACTCTACACAAAATCTTTCTACCAAAATATTCTTAAGCCCAAGCTCAATAACAATGGCATCTTTGTGACTCAGGTCAGTATTTATTTCAATTTTATAATATAGTCTTTTGGTTATGATGATTATTAAATTTTAAATTTAAATATCTGATGACTTTTGGTGGTTTACAATTGGTATTTTTAGGCTGGACCAGCTGGGATTTTTACTCATAAGGAGGTCTTCTCATCAATTTATAACACCATAAAACAAGTCTTCAAATGTAAGTCAATCATGCATATACACAATCTTCTAGTTCAACAATTAGTTACGAAAAATATCCCTAACATTTGGTCAAATTACAAACTCGCCTAGTTAATTTTCAAAATTATATTTGCCCTAATATATTGTAAAATAACACAAATTATCATATAAGGTTGTCTGTTAGTCTGATCATCGACCCATCATAGTTTTTTTAAACAAGAATGCCTACATTAAGTTTAAAATTAAACATATATTTTGAAGAGTTATGATCGATTAACAATTAAATCTGGCTAACTATTGTAGTATTGATACAACAAAAAGTGAAACAAATATGATGGTGTACTTGTAAACTACGAGTATTTGAATTATATAGTGTGAAATCAAAATTAAACTAATTAATAGTGTTGCTTTGATGATGTGTATACACAGACGTTCGTGCTTATACGGCTCATGTCCCATCATTTGCTGACACGTGGGGTTGGGTTATTGTAAGTAAATTATGATTAAAAAATTAATTAATTAAATTACTTTCCAGGGCTTATAATGCGTTTTTTGGGTTAATTTCAGGCCTCTGATGAACCACTCTACATAGACGCTGGTAAATTGGACAAGAAGATTGCAGAAAGAATTGATGGAGAACTCTTGTACTTGAATGGCCCTTCATTTGTGTCCTCAACAATTTTAAACAAAACGGTCGCGAAAACGTAAGGCCTTAAATTCGATATGTTGATTTTTTTATTAGTATTCAAAATTTCAAAATTCAAATCCATTGTTTTATAATGAATTTCAAATTCAAATTTCAAACCAACATTTAAAATTTTCACGTGCAGGTTGAAAAACGAGACTCATGTGTATGCTGAAGATAATGCGAGGTTTATCCACGGACAAGGCCTCGCGTACCGGATTTAATTTCTAAGTGTTTGAAAATTGTGGGGGGCAACTAACTCATGTATAGGAGAGGATTTCAAAGACAATGAAGTAGAAATCAATATATTGCCTTAGAGAATATAAGCAAATGTTCTAAGGGTGTCTTAAGAGACAAGTACTCTTTGTAGTTGCTTCTTGTTTTCTGTAATGCTGAAAAATCATGAGTTCCCTACTTGAAACTTTTAATTTAATATGAACTATATAGTTTTGTTATCATTTTAGTCCATTGGTCCAGGCCCAAACTATGGCTGGGCTTGTGATCAAGCTTAGTTTCTAAAAGTTTTTCTGTTCGTTTACAAGTTAGGCCCAAACTTTGGTCCAACTCATATGTCAAAATTCTGGGCGAGCACAACTGCACAATTCAACTTTATCCCAAATCGACGTTAAGGAAACCAAATTCAAGACGACAAATGAACATTCAGCATAACATTAATTAAAA